CATCTGCACTTAGGACAGTGCGGCTTGTTTGCGTCGGAGTTAGATGATTTCAGACTGGTTCTCTAGGTCAGATCTATATAAAGTTTGGAGAATTGCCAAAGTTAACAACCTAGAGTATTTCAAACATCAAGACAGCAAAAAACAGAACCGATGATGTAATACGAAAGAGGAGACCATTAGCTTTGTGACCCCAAAAATTCACTGCCATGCCTGTGGTGGTATATTATTCTTGCTTTAAAATCTTAAGCCTCCCACGCCCCTTACACAAATGCAAAGCCCAGTGAAGAGCAGAAACAGGCATGTTACAACTACGCTTAAGAAAGTAGGCGTATTGAGCAACTTTGACCCTTTTAGAGGAGAAAATTGAGTCAAAGGGACTTACCAAGGGCAGTGATGGTCCATTTTTAATACACACCTAAAAAGGGAGCAAAATACAGTGTGGTAAGTGGGGCTATGGATATGAAGCAGCACCTCATACTCGAACTCCAGGTCTCAGCAGTTACTTTCACATGGAACTAGCCCACTCATCCCTACATTTCCACTGTAGCTGCTCTGTGTCCCCAGTTAGTCCGAGCACGAACCAAGCATGGCGGTTTATAGGGTCGGGCTGGATCATGCCTTTCTAGTTTTTGAAAGGGGTTGGGAACTCTAGGATATTGATCCAGTTTTTCAAAGGGGCTGGGAACTCTAGGATATTGATCCAGAGCAAAGGTCCAAGATAACGCCCCTCACCTTGCTCAATACTCAGTTTGATAAAAGTGCAGAAGAAAACATGGCTACATTCTCTGTTTCATTCAAGGGTAAGAGAAAGATAGGTGGAACAAGCGCCCAAGAAAAAAGACGCAAATGCTATGTTTAGTAGCATAAAAACGGGGTTTTACAAAGCTGGAGCACCTTGAGTCCCAAAACAAAGTAGTATTGACTTATAACACAAAATATAAAATGACTATCCATACCTACATACCGATGTAAATAAACGATTGGATAAATAAATAAATGAGAGAGAAGAGACAAATCTCCCATGCAGAAGAATTCAAAATAATTTCTTTAGATTCTCTGCCTTCGAAGAAGGGGGACACAAGCACTCATCCCTTTAGGCTCGTGCCGCACATAGTGACTCCCTTCCAAAAGCTACTCCAGCCAGATGGTCAAGATTAACGTCGCAGCGGTAAGTCATGTTCACAGTACATACCCTTGATATGACATCATGAGAATGACACTTCGCCGCTATGGGCTTCCTCCCCAAAACACATTACCCAAGTCTGACCATGAGAAAAATGTCAGGAAAACCCCATTCCAAGTATATTCTGCAAAAGGCTTCAACATTAATCCTAAAAGCTGTCCAGGTTATCAAAAAAAGTAAAGTCTGAGAAACTGTCACAACTAAGAGGAGCATAAGAAGACATGACAACTGAATGTAATTTGGTATCCTGGATGGAATCGTGGAACAGTCAAAAACAGTAGGGAACCGAGGAAATCTACATGTGGATTCTGGTTTAAAATAATGTATCAATATTGGTTCATTAATTCTAACAAATGTACCATATTAATATAAGATGTTAATAATAGGGGAAGCTGTGGGACGTTTGAGAACTATCTTCACGATACATCTAAAACTGTTCTAAAGTATAACTTTTAAAAAAAGGTATTTTATTTTTCTTTCCTATCTTTAGAATAGTTGGAATAATCCTCCCTGTGAGAGTGTTCGGCGCGTGCTCATCATGATCAAAAGGAAATGCTCTTATCTAGGCATGGTTACGTGTTAAAATCAGTCATATTGTTGTCTAGGCAACCATCAATGGCCAAGCTCAGTCCAGGGGAAACACAGCTGTCACTTACATGGCACAGACAGAGCAGTGGTGGCAGCGATCTGGCTTAATCAAATGGCACCGGTCACAGAATCTAACAGCTATAGGAAAAATAAGGTGGTTAGCACCGGTTATGGTTCAATGTGACATCATATATTTTCCTAGCCTATCTGAATGGCTTGCTATACACTGATGACAAGTAGTCAAACTCGTCTTATTTCAAGTTATCAAGCAAAAGGAAGACTGCGTGTGGGAACTGCGGCATGTGCTTTTTCCCTGTCGGATCGATCTTGACAGCATCTTTTGGGAGATGAAGGTAAGGGGAAAAGTTTTCACATCTGGATATCTAATCATACGATTCTGTATTATCAAACAAAATATACTGTCAACTGCTTGAGTGATCTCGGGAAGATCATTTAGCCTCTGTTTGCTCCAACTTTCCCACCTGAAAACTCGGATTCATAGTTTATCTTTTCTTTCCAGAGGCTGGATTGTATGAGGTGGATAAAAGTAAAGCACGGTAAATAAAGTGGTTCTTAGAATCACAATTTGGAGAACAGAAGAGATATTCTAGTTCAAGTCACCATTTCGCAAATGAAGACCTGAGCCGTATGAAGTGACTTATACAAAGTCACACAGCAAGTGAGTGGCAGGGCCGTGACCAGTACAGTTAGTTCAGGGTTCTCTTCACTCTGTAAGTCTGATACGAAAGATCATTTCTCCCTCCTTCCCTCCCTCCCTGCCTCCTTCTTTCCTTCTTTTATTTAAGAATTTATTTAAAAATTTAAAACAAAGGCATTTTTGAATTAAAAAAATTGTTTTCAATTACAGTTGACATACAATATTGTTAGTTTTAGGTGTCTAATCACGACATAGTGATTAGACATTTATATAACTTATGAATGTACTCTTTAAGTACTTTAAAATATTTTGCCCGGCCTCCTCCTGTCCGGCAACCATAAAAATGTTCTCTGTATCTATGAGTCTATTTCTGTTTTGTTTGTTTATTTTATTTCACTTAGTGTAATACCCTCCAGGTCCATCCACGTTGTCGCAAATGGCAAGATTTCTTTCTTTTTTATGGCTGCGTAATAGTCCATCGTGTGTGTGTGTGTGTGTGTGCGCGCGTGCGCCACATCTTCTTTATCCATTCATCTATTAATGTACATTTTGGTTGCTTCCGAATCTTGGCTACTGTAAACAAAGCTGCAGAGCACATAGGGGTGCATGTGTCTTGTCAAAAAGGCATGTTCCTTTCCTTTTCATCTCCTCTGTGTTTTTGGAGTATGACTGTTTAATGAGATTATTTAATGACTAAAATTATGAGTAATTAGAGCAAATATAGTCATTCCATCTAAATTGTACATGAGGCACATATAACTGATTCAATGTAATGCTAATTCGGCAGAGCCTGTGTTCATTTCTAGCAGTCGGGGGGAGGGCGGTGACCAAAGTATGAGTACAGTTGAGGCAAGGAGGGAGGGGGGGCATGCACGTTTGAGTCCTTCAGCATGTCGTTAAAGATATGGCCAATGTCACTGCACAGTTTAAGCCAGCACCTCTCACTCAGAGATGATTAGCAATAGCTGCCTGATTATTCATTCCTCTCTCATTCTTGCAGCCCTACAAGGCTTTCTCTACAGAATAGCTAGGTAGTCTGTTAAAAGGTAAATCAGATCATATCATTCTCCACTTAAAGCCTTCGATACATTTCTAACACCCTTAGAATAACAACCAAACTCCTCACTTCGGCCCGCATCGTCTGCCTTCTGCCTGCCTCTTCAACCTGAACTTGGACCAGTCTCGACCTACGATGCTCCAGCCACAGTGGTTGTCTGTCTGCTCTTATACAACAAGCTTGCTCCTGTCCCGGGGCCTTTTGTACTTGCAGTTCCTCTTTATTATTCCGGTCTCAGACCAAATGACATTTCTTCAGAGAAGCCTTCTCTATTACTCTGTGTTGTGGCGACTACAAACAAATGCTTCAAGAGTCCGGGGAATAGTAAGTAGTGAATAGTAAGCAGCCAGTTGGAGACTAGATATCTAATCCATACTGTATGAATCCATTTATGTAAAATTCTAGAGCAGGTAAAAGTAATCTATGGTGGAGAAATAGCAGAATAGTGGTCGTCTTTGATGGCGGTGGTGGGATTTACTGGGAAGGAGCATGTGAGAAATTTCTGGCATGTGGAAATGTTTCCAGAGGTTTTGCTGACACAAGTGTGTACATCTGCGGAAACACTGAATGGTACACTTAAGATTTGTGCGTGTTTTTTATATGTATATTTCACCCAGAAAATAACGGTAAAATATTTAGGTGGATATGTACTGATATCTGCTACTTCCTTTAAAACGTACCAAAAAATAAGATTGCTGTGTGGACGATGGATAGAGGGGCGGATTTGTGGACAAATGTGTGATAAAGCAAAATAGTAAAATGTTAGTGGTAGGCTGTAGTGGCAGCTATACAGATGTTTAGTGTATAATTCTCCCTTCTTGGATATATGTTTGAAAATTTTTATAAGAAAATGTTCAGAAAAAACTCTCTAGTGTTTTCCAGAAGAGAGGAGAAAAAAGGGTCTAGGCTGAGGATATATATGACCCAGGCTTTCTGAGAGCCTTGCTAATCTAGCTGTCCATTTGACTTGAGATGAACTGACCTCCACTCCCGGTTCTCGTGTACACTGGTAGCTTCTTGGCCATATCAACAAGCATCTGCTTTTGGACCTCAGGTCTCTCTTCATTTTCATAGCGTTCTTTGTCTGTATAGGACAAGTGGAACTGGAAGCAGAAGTCAGAAGCAAGACTTTATTTTCCAAGGGTGACAGGAAAAAATTAAAAACAAAAACAATAGTTATGGAGAAGAAAATATTTGTTATCTACCCTTGAAAGCCGGGTACCTATTTGGCTTATAACTTTCTCTGGATAATTATCTCAATGATCTTATCTGACTTTTATCTCTGTCTTCATAACTCTGTGTGATGGGTGGTACTGTTTTATAAATAAAATAAAACTTAGATTAAGTACCTCGAGCATTGTTACATTTCACTCAACTAAGAGTAGCAAAGCTAAGCCCCCAACCCAGTTCACTTACTCCAAACTCATGCCCTCCCGCCTCCATCATACCACAATATGATGTTGCATTCAGATGTGGACACCTTGCTGCCAGGACCCTGTCGATGATTAACTAGCTTGTTATTAAGTTGTGAGTATTTTTCATAGGTAACATTCTTGGAGAATCCGGATGAGACTGCTTGCAACATTATCTGCATGTCCTAATCTTGCAAATGAGTAAAAATTTGGATTTTCTTGCTATTTCAGAAATGTTTGGGCTGGTATGGCGCTTATTGCCATGTTTGTGCCATACTTTGCTAATCTTGCAAAAGATGCCAACCATTTTCCAAAGTAATACAGACTCGAAAGCTTTCTTCTGTCTGGGCCAAAGCATAGGCAGAGGTGAAAAAGAGAAGAATCTGTGTTCAGATGTTCTGCGTTTACACCTCATCTCTGCCACTTAATAGTTAAAAAATTACTTTTGAAAATCAGACACTCTCAATCTGAGTTTCTTATCTATAAAATAGAGGCAATAATACTAACTTCACGAGTTAGTGCAAAAGCGCTAGATAGTAACAAGTAATTACAAGTCCAGTTTCTTAAGTCATTAAAAATATTTGATATTGCCCATATTTTTAATTTCAACCATTCTAGAAAGTGTGAAGCGGTATCTTACTGTGATTTTAATTCACACTCCGCTTTTCATAAATTTATTGGCCATTCGAGTATCTTCTTGTGAAATGCCTATTCGAGCCTTTTGTCCACTAAAACAGAACGAGGTTGTTTGTCTTTTGTGTATTGATTTGTAGGAATTCTTTATATATTTTGGACGCCAGTCCTTTGCCGAGTATTTTCTACCAGTCTGTGGCTTTTCTTTTTACTTCCTTTATGGAAGCATTTTGATGAACAGAAGATCTTGGTGGGAGTGTAAATTTACAGAGCCACTTTAGAAAACTGTTTGGCATTATGTACTTAAGCTAAATATGTGCCCGTCCTATGACTCAGCGATTCCATTCCTAATTATATACCCAAGAGAAATCGGTGTGTGCGTGTGCGTGCGTACCGAAAGACATGTATAATGTTCATAGCAGGTTTGTTCATAATAGAAAAAAATAGTAACAACCCAAGTGTCCTTCAATTGATGAATGGATAAACCAACTGTAATAAAAGGGAATAGCTAATAGCCGTAAAAGGGAATGAACAAATGAAAGATATGTCAACATGAATGAATCTGGAAAACGTATTGAGTGAAAGGCTTACAGGAAATAGTGCAAACTATGATTCTTCCGTCGGGAGGGTCAAAAATAGGCAAAGCTAATCTATGGTGATGGAAGTCAGATTAGGGGTTACCTCCGAGAGGAGGTCGATTGGGAAGGGGCATACAGGAGATTTCTGAGGTGTTAGAAATGCTCAAAATCTTAACCTGGATGACGATTATAAGAGTGTATAAATAGGTAAAAATTCATCGAATTATATTCTTTACAGCTTTATTCTTGGATTAGAGTATGTATGTTATACATCAATAAAGTAATAAAACTAATAATAAAATACTTAAGATAACTTAAATGTATGTAACTTTAAAAATTGGAAATCAGTAAAATCACTCTATTTTTAAGAAACATACCTAGCGGTGCATCTTTGTGATGTCATGCCACCCTTCAGTAGAATGAGAACTGAGTTCTGCCCGGGGCATGCAGAGATGTGTAGGGGCACTTTGGGTTATTAGGAGAAACGTGGTGCGCTATGGTCGTTTAGTGGGTGGGAGCCCAGGGTGCTAAGGGTTCTGTGATGAACTGGACAGATGCACACAACTAAGAATTTTCCCAACCGAAAGACTATAAATCAATGTTATAAAATAGTTAACTAAATAACGCAAATTTAATATAAAACTGTTTTTTTTTTCTTAAATAAAATTATACCGACTGACAAAAAAAATGAAGTTTTTAACAATTCTTTTTAATTCTGGTAATTAAAAGTAGCACATCGGGGCAGCCCTTTAATTTGGGGGATGTCTTTGGGAATATAACTTCTTGTGGTACACTGTACTTGCTTGAAAGGGAGAGGCAGAGTTGTTACTGCTTGTATGTGATGAAAACTTTGCGGTTATTCAAGAAATTGGCTTTGGTTTGGGATAGGATGCCATGCCTGGATACCCAATTTCTGGCACTAATAAAGCCTTTTCGAGGATTAGAATGCAGTGAGTCAGTAAATGCATGTTGGATGGGACAATAAGTGATAGATTGGGATATACTTGGTACTAGATAAATCGATATTGTGGCTATTAAATAAGCCCCAAAGACTCACCTTTTCTTTTGACCAATTAAAAATGATGAAGATGTGGTCTTAGACATTACACATTTGCTGCGCTTGTCTAAATCCTGTCATCACCTCACCCAGTTTAGGCCTACACAGTTCTCACCCGCTCATTCTTTCTACTGGCCTACAAGCTTCATAAATAGTGCGAAGGGGACAATTATTTTTATGAAGTTAAAATTCATATAACATAAAATTCCATTTGAAAGTACACATTTGATAGTGTACAATTCAGTGGCATTTAGTACATTCATAGGGCTGTGCAACCATCACCACTATCTAGTTTCAGAATATTTTCAGTGCCCCGAAAGGAAACCCCATATGCACTAGGCAGTTATTCCCTATTCTCTGCATCCCCAGACCCTGGAACCACTAATCTACTTCCTCTCTCATTGGATTTTCCTTTCCGGATATTTCATATAAGTAGAATCAAACAATATGGGCCTTTGGTGTCTGGTGTCTTTCAATTAGCATTGTATTTGTAAGGTTCGTCTCTGTTGTAGTGTGTATCAGTAACACATTCCTTTTTATGGCTGAATAACATTCCATTGTATGGACATACTACGCTTGATTTATTCATTTTATTCATGTATAATATGGGTGCTTTTAAACTTTTTGGTTATAGTAATAATGCTTTATAAACAATTGTTTCTAACCATTTGTTCAAATGCCTGTTTTCAGTTCTTTTGAGTATATACCTAGGAGAAGACTTGCTGAATCATATGGTAATTCTATGTTTAACATTATGAGGAACCACAAAACTGTTTTTTACACCAGCTACACCATTTCACATTCCCAGTAGCAATGTCTGAGGATTCAGGTCCAAACCAACACTTGTTATTTTCCACTTTCCTTTTTCCTTCCTTCCTTCCTTCTTTCCTCCCTCCCTCCCCCTTTACCTCTCTCCCTCTCTCCTTCCTCTCTCTCTCTCTCCTTCCTCCCTCCCTCCCTCCCTCCCTTCCTTCCTTCCTGTCTATCTGTCTGTCTCTTTCTTTCTCTTTCTCTCTCCCTGCCTCCCTCCCTGGCTCCTTATCTGTCTTTCCCTCCCTCCTTATCCATCTTTCTCTCTCTCCCCACACTCTCTCCCTCTTTCTCCCACCCTCCTTCCTTCCTTTCTTTTCAATCATATTGAGTGTGAAGTGGTATCTCATTGTGGTCTCGATTTGCATTTCTGTTGACTAATCTTTTCATGGGCTTGTTTTCATGTGCTTTAAGTAGACATTTAAAGAAATGTCTATTTAAGTCATTTGGCCATTTTTAATTGGGTTGTTTGTCTTTCTGTTGTTGAGTTTTAAGAATTTTTATATATTCTGGATACTTGGCATTTATGAGATATATGATTTGCAAATATTTTCTCCCATTGTTTGGGTGGTCTTCTCACTTTCTTAATAGTTTTGTTTGATGCACAAAAGTTTTAAATTGTGATAAAGTCTAATTTATCTAATTTTTCTTTAGTTTCCTGTGCTGATGGTGTCCCATCTAAACCATTGACAAATGCAAGGTCATGAAGATGTTTCCCTATGTTTTCTTTTAAGAGTTTAAAAGGTTAAGGTCTTACATTTTGGTCTTTGATCCATTTTTTCTTGTGATAAATATACACAACAACATTCAACCATTTAAACTGTTTTTAAGTACACAGTTCAGTGGCTTTAAGTACATTCACATTGTTGTGTAACCATCACCACCATCCATCTTCAGTCCTTTTTCATCTTTCTAAACTGAAATTCCATACTCTCCATCACCACTTCCCACCAGCTCCTAGCAACCACCATATTACTTTCTGTCCCTGTGAATTTGACTACTCTAAGTACTTCCCATGAGTGCAGTTATACAGTATTTGTCTTCTTATGACTGGCTTATTTCACTTAGCATAAAGTTCTCAAAGTCCATCCCTGCTGTAGCATGTGTCAGAATGTCCTTCCTTTTTAAAGCTGAATAATATTCCATGGTATGTACATATCGTGTTTTGTTTACCCATTCATCTATCTGTTGATGATGACTTGAGTTTTTTCCACCTTTGGCTATTGTGAATAATTTATGAACAAATGTTGAATAATTGTGTACAGACGTCTTTTTGATATCCTGCTTTTAATTCTTTGGGGTATGTACTTAGAAGCGGAATTGCTGGATCACATGGTAGTCCTATTTTTAACTATTTGAGGAACTATCATGCTATTTTCGCAGCAACTGAACCATTATATATTCCCACCATCACACAAGGGTTCCAATTTTCCATACCCTTGCCAATACTTGCTATTTTCCACATTAAAAACAAATAGTACATGGAAACTGAGGTGTTCATCGATAGACGATTGGGTAAAGAAGCCGTGGTACATATATGCAATGGAATATGACTCAGCCATAAGAAGAGACGAAACACTGCCATTTGTGACAACACGGATACATCTTGAGATAATCATGTGAAGTGAAATAAGCCAGACAGGAAAAGTTGAGAATGATATGATTTCACTCATATGTAGGATATAAAACTGAAAGCAACAAACGAACAAGACAAACAAAAACTCAGAGAGAGACAACAGTTTAGTGGTTACCAGGGGAAGGGAGAGGGGGCAGGTAGAGTAAGGTGGTCAAATATGTGGTGATGGAAGGAAATTTAACTTGGGGTGGTGAACACACAATGCAATATACATATGATATATTATTGAATTGTACACTTGAAACTTATATAATTTTATTAACCAATGTCACCCCAATAAATTTAATTAAAAAAATAGTTACCTATGTTAAAACTAAAAAAAAGTAACCATACTAATGGATACGAAGTGGTATTTCATTGTAGTTTTGACATGTATTTCCCCAATGATTAATGATGTCGAGTATTTTTTCATATCTTTGTTGGTCATATGTTCATCTTCTTTAAAAAAATGTCTATTCAAGTCCTTCACCCATTTTAAAAATCAGGTTGTTGGGGTTTTTTCCTTGTAGAGTTACAATAGTTCTTTTACATTCTGAACATTTAACCCCTTGCCAGATATATCATTTGTGAATATTTTCTCCCATTCTGTAAGTTGCCTTTTCACTCTGTTGGTTGTGTTTTGATGTCCAGAAGTTTTAAATTTTGAAGTAGTGCAATTATCTATTTTCAATTCTGTTTTGGTGTCAAATCCAAGAAATACTTGCCAAATTTAATGTCATAAACCTTATCTCCTATGTTTTCTTCTAAGGGTTTTATAGTTTTAGCTTTTTAGGTTTAGGTCTTTAATCCATTTGAGTTTACTTTTGTCTATGGTATAAGGTAAGGGTCCACCTTCATTATTTCGCATACGCATAATCAGTTTTCCCAGCACCATTTGTTGGAAAGACTGTTTTCCCCATTGAGTGGCCTTGGTACTCTATTCAAAAAATCCTCTGACCATATATGTGAGGGTTTCTTTCTTGGCAATTTCTTTCATTAGTCTCTGTGTCTGTACCACATTGTTTCGATTACTGTAGCTTTGCAGTAAGTTTATACATGTGGAAGTGTGACACCTCTAACTTTGTCTTTTCCAAGATTGTTTCGGCTACTTGGGGTTTCTAGAGATTCCATATGATTTTTAGGATGGAATTTTTCTATTTATGAAAAAACATCACTGGGATTTTGACAGAGATTGGATTGAATCTGTAAACTACTTTGACAGAGTAAAGTAGTAATGACATCCTTAACAACATTATCTTTTCCAATTCATGAAATTGGGACATATTTACATTTATTTGTTTCTAATTGTATTTGGAAATTTTTTTTAGTTTTTAGTGTACAAGATTTTCACCCTCTTAGTTAATTCTTAAGTATTTTATTTTTTCATGCTATTTTATTTCTTTGAGGTGAAGTTTTAGTTAAAAATTATATTTCTCCAATAGATATATATGCTTTTACGTGTTATCTATTTCTTTTTGTTTGTTTTTTTCAATAACAATAGACATCCAATATTATATTAGTTTCAGGTGTATAGTATAGTGGTTAGACAATTCTGTAGCTTACAAAATGATCCCCCCCAATTATAAACTGAAAATGATCGATTTAACTGTTGTAGCTTTTTTCCTAAAAGTGGTCTTCCAGAGTCTCCCCGAGTTCTAAAATAATACAGTTTTGTAGAATTGAACAAGACGAGGTTTCAGAATCCAAGTGGGTTCTCATTTCTCTAATTATATTACCACTGCATGTAGTGCTTTCCTAGTTTTCAATATATCTATCCATGGCTGGCGAATTCAAGAACTCTTTCAATAGACAATCCTACCCTTCATTTACCTTTATCCCTAAGTCCTTTTTAAAGATTACCCTGAATCTCTCTTTTGTAATGGAAGGTTTTTTGTTCCTCTTTTTGCCCTCTTCTCGGCCTTTTTGGCATATCCGCTTCCCTCTCTTTTTAGCCTTTATGAAGTAACCAGTATTCTTACCTTCTGGTTTGGCTGTTGTGGCAGTGTAAAAATAGACTTCCAGTAGGTCCAGGTAAAGAACACAAAGATGGCATGGTAGAATATGAGGTAGATAACTGAAATTTAAGAAAAAAAAGTATTTACACTGTCTTTTTGTCCATTTCTAAGAGTTCAGAAAGACATAGATCTCAACAAGAAATGTCTATTTTGTTTTCCTATTACCAAGTATTTTTGTATTACTATGAAATATTAATTCTTACTTTGTCCCACACAGTGACAGAAACAATTTATAATGCCAAATTTTAAACCCAAAGGAAACCGTCAACAAATAAAAAAGTCAATCTTCCAAATGGGAGAAAATATTCGCCAATGATACATCTGATAAGGAGTTAATATCCAAAATTTATAAAGGACTCATACAATTCAACCCAAACAAAAGCAATCCAATTTAAAAAGGGACAGATAAAATTCAACACCAAAAAAACAAACAACAAAAAAAACCACCCCAAGCAATCCAATTAAAAAATGGGCAGAGGACCTGAATAGGCGTTTCTCCAAAGAGGACATACAGATGGCTAACAGATATAAAAGATGCTCAACATCACTAATCATCAGGGAAATGCAAATTAAAACCACAAAGAGATATCGCCTCACACCTGTCAGAATGGCTATCACCAGTAAATCAAAGATCAAGTGTCATTAAAAAATAAAGACTGAGATTTGGAAAACTTTTAAAAATAGCCTACTGAAATTGATCATAGGCATATCCTATGACCCAAAGACCGAGTGCTGGAGAGGATGTGGAGGAAAAAGAACCCTCATACGCTGCTGGGAGGAATGCAGATGGGTGTAGCCACTATGAAAACCAGCTGGAAGTTTCCTCAAAACATTAAAAATAGAACTACCTTACGGAAGATGCATGTTTTAAAAGCTGCCATTTGATTCTGGGAGTAAAGGGAAAACATTGTTTATGATACTGTCAGGGAAGCTACTGTAGCCAATGGTCATTATCTTTGTCACTATGAGTACTGATGAGATGAGAATGATAGCATTTGCATAGCACTACAGAGTTACAATGTGCTTTGATACTATTATCTCATTTTATTTTTTCAATTAATTTGTGAGATAGGTAATAGGATAGGGAAAGTCGATTAACTATAGGGGTAGTGGATTATGCGAAGCCACACAGGTACTAACTACATAACGTAACCAGATTTTAAACAGAGGACTTCTGACTCTAAATCGTAAGTTCTTTTCAGTAGTTTCAAAGACTACACACTTTTGAATCATGCATTGTACCGTTGAGACAATTATAAAAGTGGCTCCTCACTTATTTTTATACCCTTTGCCACCTAATAGCTCTACCGATATGGGAAATCTCAGTATTCTCCACAGACGTCATTATAAGACTGAAGGTCAGATTACTGTTTCATTTTGAGTTCTTGCATGGTAAGTTCTTATTACTTAAATCCATCAGAAAGACTCAAGGGAATGATGTTACTCACGACCAAGTTAATGGGGCTGAGCCTCTCACACATGTATGACTGAATTGAAAAAATTGGTCCAGTGCTCCTAGCCCTCTGGTAAAAGATTTCTTTTTATGTGCTTGATTTGTGTAATCGTGAAATCTCATTTTAAAATTCAAGCAACATAAAGTAAAAAGTAAATGTCCACCCTACACATACATCTAATTTCCCACTTCTACCTCCTAAGGTATAATACCTGTTTGGTTTGGTGTTTGATGTGTATCATTCCAGATCTTCTTATTTTTATATATTTACATGCTTATATGAACATAACACATATGGAATTTTTATAATATTAAAATTTTTTCGTTGTGTTTCTTTTGAAAGGTAATACATCCACCCACAAGTTTCAAAAATTTGAAGGTATAAAATAATACACAGTGAAAAGTCTTCCTTCTGTCCCTGTCCCTCAACCACCTAGTTCCCTGGAAGCAAGAAATGTCAGTGCACAACTTTATTCCGTATTCTTTCAGATTTTATACATTTAAAAGCACCAAAACGGTGTGCTTTTTTTCACACAAATAGCAGTATTCCAAACACACCGTTTTTTACCTCATTTCTTTTTCGCTTGCTGTAAGTTGGAGATCATTCACTTAATATGACTCGGAAAGAGAGAGCTTCCTCAGTCTCATTTTAAAAAGCTGCACGGGATTCCATTGCACGAATGTACCATAATTTACTTAGCCAGACTGTCTCTGATGGGAACGGTGCTTTCCTCCTTCTCTGGCTAATACAAATAATGCTGTAATGAATAACCTTGTATATATATCATTGGCGCATGGACTGAAAATATCTATAGGATCAATTCCCTTAAGTGGGATTGCTAGGCTCAAACCTAGGCCTTTTGGTAGATATTGCCAAATTGCCATTAAAAAAAGTTTTCTTTACAATCTCATCACCAATGAATGAGAGCGACTTCCTCCATTGCCTTGCCCTCATGAAGTGTTATTACAATTTTTTTATCTTAGGCGGGACTTTTTAAATGTTTCTTTGTGTGTTATCTTTACTGTTTTTGTTTCTTTGACTTCATGAAGTTTATACAGGGAAGATTCCATAACTATCTAGGTTAGAAGGGACATATGTTAACCCCCGTTCCTTCAGTATGGAATGGGAATATGGGACCTTTGATTACAAAGAAATTAAGAAAAATAATTATATGTTTACCCTCTCATTGTGCACTTCAAAGGTAATAAGCTTCAGCAATTTGGATCACCTGAATAGTGAGAACTAAACTCTTACACTTGGTAATATTTTAAAGATATTTATTTTTTGTTCCAATGATTGGGATGGGAACTGTGGGACTGTAACTTGTTTCAGGTCATACTACTAATTCATAACCGGTCTAATCATGAAGCTGGCAACAGCTGGCTCCCACTCCTGTATTCTAAGCTTTCACAGAAGTTATGAGTACTTTTCTATAAATGGGTGGAACATGAGATTAAATGGCCAAACTAAAGTCATTCAGTAGATCGGTAGAACAGGAACTATACACTAGATTTAATAAAAATCTTAGAGAAAGTCAAGAACATAGAGATCATTTAGTTCAACCTCTTCAGTTTATAGACAGGTAACTGAGGCCCAGAGAGGTAAGTGACTTCATCAGGGTTACCCAGCAAAGTTGTAGAAGAAATGGAACCGAATTCAGCTTTCCTCACTTCCGGTCCAGAGCTCTTTTCCTCAGAACAGTGGCTCTCAAATTTCAGTGTGTATTTAAATCAACTAGGGAGATTATCAGAAGGCAAATTCCCAAGCTCTACACAAAGATTCGGAATCAGTAGTTTGAGGTGGAGTCCAAGAATCTAGCAAGTCCCCCAGGTGATTCTGAGACACATGAACCATGAGAAACAGAGTCTTAGAGCTCTTCGGTTGTTCGGTCTGTGTCCCAAGGAGGAAGCTCCTCTTCAACATGCCGGGCAGGCAATTCACCACATCGCCGCCACCTTCCAGCCCGCGCTGAGTACTACTGAACTATGGATAGGCCCCATGATTCTCAATTTCCTATCTAGAATTACTATCTAGAATAATCATTCTTACAAACTGCAGGGACACTGAGTCTTTCTTTTCAGGTGTGGTGCTCAAGTAAGATTTCAGATAACTAGAGAGATCAGACAGCTAGTGAACTGTATCCGTGAACTGCCACTACTCAATGACCTTGAAATGAAGTGGGGAAACATCTTTTCGAAGCAAGCTGGCACAGTAGAGCCTTTTGCTTATCTGGTAGCGATCACAGTCATGTGGTCCCAGAAGCTGCTGGAGCTGTGATTACCATATGAAAGCCAGAAGCTTTTCAAGTGTTTTTTTTTTTCTTTCCACAATATGAAAAGGTTTTCAGGAGCAGAAATCAGCTATAGGGAACATGACCAAGTCCCAGAGAAAAGTCCATCTACACATGCAGTCGTTCTGAATCGAGTCGCTGTGTTGCACTGTCAATATCCCATTCTAGGAATAGCTTCTGAAATGAGAATTACTACTTGAGCTTTTTTCCCGAAATAAATGATTTATAAACACCTTGATAAATTATGGAATCTGAAACTACATGGTGGAAGTAGCATAAAGTTGTTATTACCAACCTCTTCAGCCAGCTAGAAAAGTTGCCTTTTCTAGGTGTCGCTCCCAGGGACTAATGGGAAGTGAGTGAGTGTGCGTGTGCGTGTGTGTGTGCATGGGCGCGCGTGCATACACGTTCTTGTGTGACTAATAATGAATGCTATGGCTGTCACTGTGGCAATTATCTAACATACCTCTTTTCCTTAAAAGGTATTGTTGGAAGCTGTTTAGTTTTAAAAGACACTATTTTCTGTAATATCTTTTGTATAAATTGACCAAAAGCATTGGCCTGGGTGATGGGGTAATGGGGGGAGGGGCGTACCTTTCAATTACATACTGTTATTCAGATAGGAACGGCTACTGTAGTTTTAGCAATTGAAAGAGCCCTCACTCAAATCCAATTTTGGCTCAAGCTAGAAATCCCCAGATTATGATCGAGAGTAAATTTGTCACCCAGACAGTCACTTCTCCCTTTGAGTATGACACCTAGCAATGAGGTGTCGACACTAATATTTGAGAGCCTTACTTCGCTTTCATTGCTTTATAAGCTCTAACGAAAAGCTACACCTTGTCTCTCAGCTATTTGAGGGAGTGTTTGGGGAGAACGGGGTTAGAGGCCCATAGATTGTAGTCAAAGAGCTAAGGATAGGTCATGAGAATACAACTGCTCAAGAGTTGTCTCCATGATTTAGCTATCCGCTAGGAGAACATGAGATTTTTCTTCAGAGCTGGTTCCAAGGTTTAGCCAGCTGTTTCGGGTGTACAGCACAGTGATTAGACATATAAATCTGGTACCCATGTGACACTGCACATAGTTACTACAATATTACTGACTGTATTCCCTCTGCTGTACTTTACATCACATGACTATTTTGTAACTACCAATAAAAGTACCAGTTTGGGCCTTCTGAGCCATGCTTCTCTTGCTCAGGGCCACCTCCATGTCTGGAAGTGTACTTTCCCTTCTAAGAAAACTTTTCTACTGTAGAAAAAAAAAGTACTAATTTGTACCTCTTAACCCCTTCCCCATTTTTCACTCATCCCCGTAACACCTCTCCATCTGACCATCACCAGTTTGTTCTCTGTATGAGTCTGTTTTCAGTTTTTTGGTTCATTTATTTTGTCTTTAGAGCGCACATATAAGTGATATCATATTTGTCTTTCTCTGTCTGACTTACTCCACTCAGCACAATTCACTCTAGGTGATCCCTTTACTCTTAGTCTGTGTGTATCTTTCATTCTGATGTGAGTCTCTTGGAGGCAACATATGTAAGGATCTTGTTTTCTTATCCATTCAGCGACCCTATCTTTTGATTGGAGCATTTAATCCACTTACACTTATGGTAATTGTTGATAGATATATAGTTCTTGCCATTTAATTATATATTTTTTCTTTTTTTTTCCTTTTTTCTTCTTAAAGAAGTCCCTCTAACATTTCCTGGGCAAGAAAAAGTTACTATATTTCCTGTAATACTGGCTTGGTAGTGATGAATTCTTTTAACGTTTTCTTGCCCAGGAGGCTCTTTATCTGTCCTTTGGTTCTAAATGATAGCTTTCCTGGGTATAGTAGTCTTAGTTGTAGATCGTTGGTTTTCATCACTTTGAACATTTTGTGCTAGTACCTTCTGGCCTGCAAAGTTTCTGTTGAGAAATCAGCTGACTGTTTTATGGGAGCTCCCTTGTAGATAACTAACCGCTTTTCTCTTGTTGCTATAAGAATCTCTTTGAATTTAACCTTTGGCATTTTAATGATGAGGTGTCTTGGTGTGGGCCTCTTTGGGTTCATCTTGCTTTGGACTCTCTGTGCTTCCTGGGCGTGTATGTCTATTTCCTTCACCAGGTTAGAGAAGTTTTTTGTCATTACAGTTTCTTTCTCATTAAAATGGACATAAGTGTGTCTACATCATTGTGTTGATGTAAATATTGAAGGAGACAACATATATACAATACTTAGGAGGGCACCTGGCACAATAAATTATAGTTTCCAGTAATAACAATATTTTTGTCATTGTTCCTATTATGAAAGTGCACTATCTAAACCCCCACCTAATTTGTCTTGAAAGCTTATTGTGGAAAGTTATATATATGTAATCTTTGACCTTAAGAACCATACATAAGAATAAGAAGCAACTCAAGACTTGCTTTAAGGCTATAATAATAGTAGCAAGCATTTAAAGGGTAACCCATATGTGCTTTACTCAACACTACTGTAAATGCTTTACATGCGTTAATTCATTACATTTTCACAACAACTTTATGAGCTAGGAAGCATTATTATTTCTATTCTACACATGAATAAAATGAGCACAAAGAAGGTAAAATAATTTACTAGGATGTAGTGAAGCCAGGATTTGAATTTAGACAGTTCATCTTCAGAACTCATACTTTTAACTATTGCGGTCTACTGTCTTCCCGCCACTCTGCTCTGTGGCTTTTATAGTCAACACCTCTGTTAAATGAGTAACAGCAAACAGGAGATTTAAAATGGCACAATATGAATGCTATGTAGTTAATGAATTAAAATTAATTCCCATGAAGTGAGAATTGAAAGTGGCTATGTAAAGTGGCTACATAAACACTTACGATTATGCCTGATAAAATAATGTAAACCTAAAGGTTTGTCAAAACTCGTGCTTCACTTATACATTTTTAATGGAAAATACCTTAATATCTTTAGAATGGTAGAATAAACTGCAGACCAAGCCAAGATGGGGATGAGAAGTGGAGAGTAGTACAATAAATATATTGAAAAAGTGAGGGTGAAGGACTTAGCCCTTAAGAGCCCCCAGCAGAGCCTTAGTCCATGCCTTGAAGAGGGGATGATTTGGATTTTAAAAAAAAAAGGCAAGGTATCTAGGAAAACAGTGATGAACCAAGAGAGAGCCTAGGATCACTATGGCCAACAGAGTGGCTATCTGTGCCCGTCTCTATCATAAATCCTGGTAACTTTCAATTCCTGTCCTATAGCCAAAGGGGCCACTGAGAATGTGTTTTGCTCCAACCTCTGGGTAAATTTCTTAAAAACCATCGTCCGAAACTTTCCACTTCTGTGTATTCCTGGGAAAGTTGCTCAAATTATAGGCTTTCATGTAACTCACTTTTAGATAGAAAGAGAGATACAGTCCCCCCAATATAATTCACCCTACCCTCTTACCTTTTTCTGCTGGGCTCAAAACAGTCACTGTGGAAAAAGAGGAAAAGGTCAAAATTAGTGACATTTTAAAACATAATTTTCTAATCCATTTTTCCATAGCATCATTTTTGAGCAATTTAGTCTGTGGTACTTTAGGGACTCATCAGCTTGCTGAGATAAGGGAGGGCAAAGATTAAATTCTATCGTTTGCTATCTTCCTTCATCTTAAACCTTGAGTAGTTAAGAATTTCTACTCATTCAACAAATACAGGTATAACTTGATTTTTTAAAAAACAGCAAATGGTAACACTAAAGCTATAAAACATGGTAGTAAGATCTGAAAAGCCGATTAATAAGGAGATGATTATTCATTTTCTCAAAGTATTCACTGTCGAATGTCTTTAAATACCAAGCACCTCTTGTATATTTAGAGGTAATATAGTGTGGAAGTTGCATGCCAGCTCTGAAGTCAGACTGTCTGAGACAGAAGCCCAGTCACACTATTTTGTGATCCTGGGCAAGATCCTCAACTTCCCTAACAGTACCTACCTCACAAGGTTACTTGAGATTTAAATGAGTTAATGCATGTAGTGCCAAATGAACATTATTATATTTGAACTAAGATTTCACACAATCTCAGAAGTGAAAGAGACTTTAGCAATTTTCTAGTTTATCTGTCTCGTTTTACAGATGGGAAAATGGGCTAGAGTAGCATCAAATGATTTGCCCGAGATCATAGAGCAAGTCAGTGGTAGAGTTAGGACTAGATTCCAGCCTCGAGGGCTTTTCCATGTGCTGTGTCTGCCTTTCTCAATCATTTCCTGCTGGCTTACCACGACATATACAAAACTTTTGTCAGAATGTCATTTGTACGAACTGAGGCCTACCGGTCTTTACTGGTCACCACCGACATCTACGTGCACTTGTACTAGGGGCTGAAGAAAGGTGAAATTACAAAGCGTGGCTCTCAATCTTGAGAAGCTTTAAATAGGATAGTTTTTATATACAATGATAAACACTTAAGGGTCAGAAAAACGGAGGGAAACCCAGAAAATGAAACTATATTCTAGCGGCTATTTCCTTGGGTTCTTCATCAGTCATACCTTCTCTTTTTCTCCATTTGCAAGTGTTTTTGTTGAGTCTTTAAAAATTCTCCTTTTAATAATGATTTGAATGGACTTCGTCAGATTTCCATTTTTGTCTGTGTCACTGCACAGAGTTAATCTTCAAAGTACAGGCGAATATTTTTTCTTCCTTACTATTTCTTTTATGACTACAAGCATTCATGAAATCTCTATCAAATGACTAACTGATCCAAAGTTCAAGGAACAGAGACTTTAGAGACCACACATAACAAAGAATACAGTCTTTAATATAGAAAAAAATAACTGAACAAGTGAATAACAACTCAGAACAGGAAGCAAAAACAAACCCGGAGTAGCGAAGAATCAGACTTCTATTTACATAGGTAAATATAAAAGCCATGTAGTATTGTATTTTTGTTTTTCCACTCTTCTTTTATTTACTATATGATTTAAAAGACAAATACATAAAGTTAACATGTTAATTGTAATACACAAAATAAACACTAGGGAAAAAAACCCATAGGTACATATAGAAAAAGGAATTAAAGGAAAGCAAAATGAGTACACTAAAAATAAATATCAAATAACAATGCAGTAAAACAGTGAGCTATCACTATACACATATTAGAATGGCAAAACTCTAAAACAATGAAAACGTCAAATGCAAAAAAGGGTATGGCATAACAGAAACGCTCATTCATTGCTCATAGGAATGCAAAATGCTACAGCCACTTTGGAAGGCAGTTTTTCAAAGATATCATGTAAATAGTAACCAAAAGAGAGCTAGGGTGGCTATACTAAGACAAAATAGACCTTAAGTTAAAAATTGATACAATAGACAACGGAGGATGTTTTATATTGATAAATGGACTAATCCATACAGATGACATAACGATTATAAAAATCTACATATCTAACAATAAAGTTCCAAAATATACGAAGCAAACTGACAGAATCGAAGAGAGATGCAAACGATATTCAAATATTAGCTGAAAACTTCAATACCCATTCTCAACAATGGCTAGAACTACTAGACAGAAGATCAATAAGAAAATAGAAGACGTGAACAACACTGTAAACCAATTAGACCTAAAAAGTCATGTAGAAAACTGAACCCAAGAACAGAAGAATACACATTTTTTTTCTCAAATGTACATGGAACATGATCTAATAGGTTACACTACAAAAAAAAAAAATCTCAGTAAATTTAAAAGATTGAAATCATACAAAGTATCTTCTCTGACACATGGAATTAAACCAGAAATTAAGAATTCAATGAAAACTACAAAATTCAAAATTATGTGGAAATTAAATAACCCGCTCTTAAACATTCAGTGGATCAAAGAATAAATAACAAGTGAAGGGAGAAAATACTTAGAGATGAACGAAAACAAAATACAACATACCAAATCCTATAGGATACAGTGAAAGCAGGACTCACAGAGAAATTTGTGTCTGTAAATGCCTATATTATCAAAGAACAAAAATCTCAAATCAATGACCTTTATACCTTAAAGAACTAAAACAGAAGCACAAACTAAACTCAAAGCTAGCGGAGGGAAGGATATAGTAACAAAGCGAGTAAAGAAAAAACAAAATAGAGAACACGAAAACAACAGGATCAATAAAACTGAAATTTGGGACCTTGAAAAGATCACCTAGAATGAGTGAGGAGGAAAAAAAGAGAAAGAATAAAATTTCTAATATCAGAAATGTAAGTGGAGATATTGATAGAAAACTTGCATAAATAGAAAGGATGATAATAGTAGAAACAACTGTATGCCAGCAAATTAGATAATGTAGGTGAAATGGACAAATTCCTAGAAACACAGAAACCAACAAAACTAACTCAAGAAGAAAGAGAAAATCTGAGCTGACTTTTAAGTGAAAAGATTGAATCAATAATCAAAAACCTCCCAACAAAGCAAAGCCAAGATCGGAAGGCTTCACTGGTGAATCGTACCAAATATTTAAGGAAGAACTAACACCTATCTTTTTCAAATTCTTACAAAAATTTGAAGATAAAAGAATACTTCCCAACTCATTCTATAAGGCCAGCATTACCCTGACACTCAAGCTAAAAAAAGACATCACAGGAAAAGAAAACTATCTGCAAATATCTCTTATGAATATAAGTTTAAAACTATTCGATTATTAGCAAACCAATATTAATAACAAGTTACTATTTAATGAGCTCTTACAATGTGTTGTCAACTGTGGTACATGCTTTTCATGTATCATATTATTTAAAATCTCATAACGACAATGCTGTAATGGCATATAGTAGGTGCTAAGCAAATATTCGTGGTATGAATGAATGACCACACAAAGTGCATGTGAGGTAACTGATGTTGACAGAGAATTTTCTCAACTTTCCCCAGGTCTCCTAGTTACTAAATGGTAGAGTTCAAACTCTGAGAACTGTAAGACAAAAACACTACTTTTGGCTTCAGTTCTAATCTCATATCAGAGAGAAAGACATCAGGTTCTATTTCTGTAAAGAAGTTAAGTCCTTAATATTACTTTTTGAGTCCTGTTGAAACTCAGATCTGTTAGTTTGGTTGTGTTGTTTTGGTATCAGGCAGCCTTGACATCCAATTCTCCATTATTTACCAAACAGGTGACTTTAGGAAAATTTGATTTAAGAAACTCAGGTCTCTCACTTGTTAAAGATAGTAAAAAAAAAAAATCACAGGATGACTGGTGAAGCCAGAACTGGAAGTCAGAGTTTGAACTTTACCCTCCTGTTTTTTAAATAATGGTAACTGGTGCAAAATGTTAGGAAAACATTGTTCGGGCCAAATAACATACATCTGCAGGCTACATTTGTACTGTGAGTCACAAGTTTTGACCTGTGTTAGTTGAGAGGAGGCAGAAAGTTAAGATACTGTGGAGGTTAAAGCATGGACTGTGGAGCCATACTGCCTGGGTTACCATCCAAGCTTGGCTATTTTGCCAGCTTAGTAACCCTTAGGCCAACTTCTTATTCTGCTGTACCTCAGTTGTCTTGTCTTTAAAATGGGCATAATGATAGTATGTACCTCATCGGGTTAGTATGAAGATTGAAAGAGAGAGAGAGATCATTTAAAATCAGTGTCTGGCATGTAACAAAAACTCTGAAAATATGTTCAATAAAACAAAATAAGCTCTAAGTTTCCTTTCAGCTTTTACTATTATATGGCTTAAGAAGAACTTGTAGGAAGCCGATTATTTGCACTGATTCTAACTTGGTCTTTACCTCCATTTGCTCATCTGCTTCTCAGTTCGTACATCTGCATAATGGGGACTGTAATGGCACCTGCCTTGTACGGTTATTGTGAGGATTAAATGAGTTAATATAAAGAGAGTTGATATATCTACAGTACTTAGAACATTGACTAGCACAGACTAAGTAGTATTTAATTGTTAGCCATTATCATTATTCATTTTGAAAATGATCGTTTAGCAAAGCTCATGTAGGACAGTATTTAAAAACGGCAAAATACATTTAATAGTGTTTATAACATGGCATTAGTCCTAGACGCAAAGTCCATACCATAGTAACGGAGCAGAACTTTTAACCCTTCAATCAATCATTCAAAAAAGCAAGGTGGCGAGGTCTGAGAATAGAAAAACTTACCGGTCATTGCACAGTCTACTCAATGTACTTCAGTTCCAGATTTAGATTCAAAAGAAAAGTAGCCTAAAATTTATGCGTGAAGGCAACTAATTGAATCTGTTTAATAACTTTGTGCATTTTCCATAATAAATCTAAGAAAAAAATGAGGAAAATTCGAACTCTGATGCCTAGGGTCGATTAGAAGAAAATTCTATATTGGAAGAAGAGTTACCTCCTGCCTCCCTGGTTAATCCCAGTGTACCTGGAACCGAGTGTTGCGTCGTCACATAGGTAAGGGAGGGAAGTTATAAGTGGAGTTAGATCCTGGGGTTAAAAGCGGGACCCTAACCATAATTTCTCAGGTGAGAAGAATGTGGTGTGAAGAAATAAGCAGTCTGGGAAGGACTCGGGAAGGGCTGTCCGACAGGACAGATAGGAGCCCTAATGTGCAGGGAGTGGTGCACTGCGATGTCACACTGGATGAACAGGGAGCGTTATAGGGTGCAAGTTTAAGGGTGCTGGAGGGGGGCTTCTAGTATCGAGCTGACAGTGAGTATCAGTGCAATCTCCTTAGCGTGGGGATGGGGATTCTTCGGTACGAGAGGGGACCGCTGCACGAGGACGAGTCCCAGCGCTGGGAAGCGCAGAAGCAGTCGGCGAATGCAGGAAGTGCTGTGAGACTCCTCGGGAGAGGGAGCGGGAAATGGGGCTCCTCGTCGGATGCACTGGTGGGATTCGTCATGTCGGCGGACCGTTTAAGGGTCCGGGGGATGCTGTGTCCTCAGTTTGGTGGGGCGGGGTTCCCCAAAATGAGAACACGAGGCACAAGTGGTCGTCGTGTATGAGAAAGGGGAGCCCCATTGGGAAGGGCTAGTGGGGAAGCCCGAGAGACATGTAGGAAGCCCCGGGTGGTCAGCGAGGGCGGCGTGGCGGGGCCCTCGTGGGACGGTTCCAGAAATGTTGTGGGAAGCTGGACGTTGCAGGTGGGAGGCTGTGTGCGGAGCTAAAGGACCGCCGCGGCGTGGGGCTGAGGACCCAGGGGCCGCGGGTGCGGAGGGTGGGGCAGACGGTTCCGCCGGGCACGATCTCCCCACCTCGGGGCCCGCCGCACTTACCCAGGCAGAGCTCGAACACGTAGGCGTAGTAGGACCAGAGCACGACCAGGACGATCACGAGCACCGGCACCCAGGAAAGCGCGCGGCGGCAGCAGCGCAGCCCCCAGGACAGAGCCATCTTCCAGCCGCGCCGCATCTTCGGCTCGAAGATCGACCGAGCAGGCCTGGTGGCGGGGGGAGGACCTGGCCGCACGGCAGCTGGGCGGTGGGCGGGCGCGCGGTGCGGCGCGCC